AAGTTCATCACAGAAATACTTTACATCCCAAAAACAAAAATTAATAGTTTGGTTAGAATATGGCATTGTAATCCTGCTTTATGTTTTAACTGTTATTTTAAAATTTATATATTTGCCTCCATTTAAAACAATGTTTGCATCGGTCTCTATAAGTCAGTTTCAGAGAATTCAAAAACGAATTTGCTTCACAAATGGTAATTTTTAAATCTTCAACCGACACTTTCATACTCTGCCTATATATATTTGCATGTTTTTTTATGATGCTTATTGTAACTTGTAAGAAATCTTGAAAAAAAAGTTCTTCAACCAAAAAAAACACATTCAAAAATCTTGAAAAGGTATAATGGCGGCGAATACTTCTACAGAATTTGACTCCTACAGTGAGCGCAAGGCTTTCGATGAGACAAAAGCAGGCGTGAAAGGCCTCGTTGATGCTCAAGTCACTGAAATTCCTCGTATCTTCCACGATCCTTTAGGTACCTTGGACAACAAGAAACCTCATGTGTCGGATTTCGCAATCCCTATCATCGACTTTGCAAGCTTCCACGTGTCACGTGAAAGCGTCGTTGAGAAGATCAAAGCTGCTGCAGAGAAGTGGGGATTCTTCCAGGTGATTAACCATGGTGTTCCTTTAAGTGTTCTTGAAGAGATCAAAGATGGAGTTCGTAGGTTTCATGAGGAAGATCTTGAGGTTAAGAAATCTTACTTCTCTCGAGACTTCACCAAGAAATTGCCTACCACAGCAATTTCAATCTGTATAATTTGTCGTCCATTAACTGGAGAGACACCTTTGGTATTTACATGGACCCAAATCTTCCAAAATCTGAAGAGATCCCAGAAGCATGCAGGTAACTTATGAACAATCTTATGAAACATTGAACATACTTTTTCAAAAAAAAAACATTGAACATATATATAAACAGTTTGGTTCACTGGTTAAAATACTCGTTCTAGGATTGACTGATTTTATCATACAGGGATGGTGTAATGGAATACTCAAAGCATGTGATGAGCTTAGGTGGTTTGCTCTTTGAACTACTCTCTGAAGCTCTTGGTTTGAGCTCTGAGATGCTTAAGAGCAAGGGTTGCATGAAGGGTGTGCTTATGCTCAGCCATTATTACCCTCCATGTCCACAACCTGACCTAACTTTGGGAACAAGTAAGCATTCCGACAACTCCTTTATCACTATTCTCCTTCAGGACCAGATCGGTGGTCTTCAAGTTCTTCATCAGGACTCTTGGGTTGATGTCTCTCCTCTTCCTGGGGCACTCGTCATCAACGTCGGAGATTTTCTTGCAGGCAAGCTCAAAATACACTGAAGCCCTAAAACGTATAGAACACAAGTTTTTAGTAAGACTTTGCGATAATAACTTGATGAGTGACTCTTTTTTCTTCTTGGTTGTTTTCGCAGCTAATATCGAACGACAAGTTCATAATCGTGCAGCATAGGGTGCTCGCAAACAAAGCTGGACCGAGGATTTCAGTTGCGAGCTTTTTCAGCACGAGTATGCATCCGAATTCCACAGTTTACGGACCAATAAAAGAGCTTTTGTCTGAAGAAAACCCTCCAAAATACAGAGAGTTCACTATACCAGAGTATTCAGCCGGATACTTAAAGAAAGGTGTCAATGATGAATCTCATCTCTCCTATTTCAAGATATGAAAAGCACATAAAGAGTGAAGTCTATGTCATATGTGTGTCTATTGCATCTGTTGGGTCAGTTCTTGTCTTGTTTCCCATATTAAGCTACTTAGCAAATGTATCGGATCTAAAGATATAAAAAAATGTGTGTATCTTTCAGCATAAAAGTTTTTTTTCAGTGTTATATTTCGCAAACTTTGTATTGATGTTCCTGAAATTAATGGACATTGTTTGAAACAGGCATAGGTCAAAACAACATAACAAAAGTGATCGATGATTCATTCATTGATTTTAGCGACTTGCTCAAGCTTTTCTCGGTAACTCTAATGTTATAGTTTGTTCATTTTGTTAAAAAGTCTGAAATTTATTACTCCACAAAATAAATTATTATTTTTTTTGCTAACCAATACACAAAATAAATTATTTACGGCAAAAAGAGGGAAATTTTTGAAACTGAAAGAGAGCAGAGCTTGAAGAACATTTATATGTTATAGAATGTATCTAGTTATGAAGAAATATCCAAAATAAAAAAATATCACATCGATCGGACCAAACATACAAGTTGCTCTGTGAACTTTTAATGTTGGAAAAAAAAAAAAAAACTTTTGATGTTAAGAGAAAT